TCACAACTGGACCGTTTGAAGCACCTTAGAGGTGGTCCAAAGTACAGTGGCTCCAATAAACAGTAGCAAGTGTTTGGGATCTTACAAAACTATCTGTTGTTCAAATATTATTCTTATGGCAAAGGAGAAACATGTAATGAAGGTAGTGAACTGGATTTGCACCTACAAAATGTGACTTGAGCCACTTTTACTTTTCATAATACCGGCCTATTTCTTGTGACATTTCCCCACGTCACCTGTGTTGCACAGAAAAAGAACTTTCCCCTGTGTAAGGCAAAACAGGATGCAAATTTTGTAATCTTAAAAACGGACACTGGCAGATTCTACAGAGCGTATTTTTGTTTGGACAAACCTTTCCCTCTTCCTCTAAATGAAAAACACTTTCTACAGAGTTACAAAACAATTTCATGTCTCAGCCTTGATTCCACAGAGTTTCACTGAGGCCCATTTCCTTCCTTTAAACCAGTTAAGTTTTACTGAGCACAGAATGCTGAGACGGCACGTTACTTTGTCCTCCCTCATAAACCGTTACTGGCACAGAGACATGTCATGAGGAACAGAGGGGGGTGTTTCTGTAAAAACCACCTGATCAGCTCAACACAGGAAGGGCGGTATGGAGGAGCAACAGCTTATGGCCAACTGACCAGCGGCCTCTGAACAAACTCTTATTCTATACTAAAAATCCACCTTTGTTTGCAGGATTTAGCAGGCATCACTAATGCATTTGCGTAATGCATTGAGTAGATTTCCCTTAAGGAGGAACACACAGCAGGCATTCCCTTATGTTCAGGCCAAATATAAGTGGTGCCCTTGGCCATAGCCAATTATCTCAATATTATGTGCACATTGTTTTAGTACTTCTTTCATATTCTTATTGCAGATTTCTTCTTTTTTAAGTCTCTTGATATTTGCAATACTTACTTTACTTGTTTGCTCCATTTTCTCTTAATATGTTTGCTGTGTACCAAGACACCAAAGCAAATTTATTATATGTAAAACCTACCATATTGTATATTTTACTCCACTGCATTCAATTGATAACTTTGCAGATTCTAATTTATAACATACAATATAATTAACACATTTATCATGATGTAATGTTTTGGATTAAACCTTTACTGTTCCTGTGGAGGAGGGTTCACAAACGACCCAGTAGAATATAAAGTAATTAAGCTTCCAGCTGCAACATTTAAGTGATTAACACATGAATGCATCAATAATTACAATCCAATATTATTCTGAAATGAGCTACGCTGCATGCTGAGGACTTCTGCTTTTGGTAATTTGGGAATATATGTGATGCAAGCTCTTTTGCACTTTTAATTAACTGAAAAATTGAATGCAAACTTGTATTTATTGTCTTTATACACTGACATTGCTGCTTCTTCTTCAGTAAAAGAAATCAGAGTACTTCTTGCATCACAGGTGACGACTCCCCTGTCCTGTGCAGTCTCCTGTGCCACATTTAAAACAACTGATATTAAATTATGTTGTTAAAAATGTGCCTTCTTGGACAAAACAGCCACAGTGAACAGAACCGTTACTGATATTATAACGTTAACGCGATAATATAGACTGTTTGGAGCGAACCATGACGTTGACATTTGCCAAAACCGTAATAACTATATTACCTGTATATTCTGTGAGTTAACATGAGGGTGTTTTCTTTTGTAGCAAACCAATAGTCTGTCTAGAAACAATAATTCGTCTCCCACCAACATATCTGGTCCGGTTCGGCTAACTCGTAACGTTAGCTGTAAAATTCAGCTAGCAACATCAACGGTAGCTAACGACAGACAGGCTGAGTGTGACAAGACAAGTGTCGCAGTGCTTCGTATTTTCACTCGCAGACAGCGCACTGTTTATTAAACTGCCGAGACACCGGTTGATTTGGTCCGACAGTCCAACGAGCACACAGTGATAAAAAGGGAGTGGACCAAATAGTCAAAAAAACAATCTCATACCTTCCGCCATGTTGCTCAGCGTTAGCTCCGTGGCCCGATGCTCTCTATCGCGATATGACAGAGAGTGAGAGGCAGTGGTGCTGCGTTCAGGGTGCTTCTCAAAAACACGGCCATTGATAGTTTATCACATGATGCTTCTTACACAGAATATTATCTTTTAAAAATTGTAATTTTACATACATGGTTTGATTTCAGTGGTGGGGGAAGTACTCAGAGATTCTATTTAACTAAAAGTAGTAATACCACAGAGTATACACCGATCAGACAAAACATTAAAACCATCTTGTTACAATGCAATGCTCTGCTGGGAAACTTGAGGTCCTAGCTTTCATGTGGATGCCACTTGACGCGCCCCACCCACCCAAACAAGGGATCATGACAAAGAGCTCAGGGCCTTGACCCGGCCTCCAAATTCCCTAGATCCAAATCCAATCGGGCATCCTTGGGACATGCTGGTACCTCATCTTGCAACCAACAGGACTCAAAAGATCTGCTGTGAAGGCCCTGGTGCCAGACACAACCGGGCATCCCCAGACTGAGGCCCCACCATGGATGGGCGGTATGTCTGGGGTATTGGTATGTCCCACAGATGCTTGGTCAAATTGGGAAGTGGGGAATTAGGAGGCCAGGTCAATGCCTTGGGCTCTTTGTGAAGATCCTTGGGCCATTCCTGAGCAGTTTTTGCGGTGTGGCATGGGGCATTGTCCTGCTGGGGGGCCACTGCCATCTGGGAGTAGCATCCACATATATGCCAGTACCCAAGCTTTCCCAGCAGAACACTGCATTGTAACAAGATGATCAAAGTTATTAATTTCACCTGTCAGTGCTTTAAATGTTTTGGCTGATCGGTGTACATACTCTGTTAGAAGAATTTTTACTTAGTGGGATAGTGGGGTTTTATAGGCTAGTTATCCATAGACAGTATATTACATACAGCAGAAGTCAGTTCGCATGCCCTAAGTTTTGGAGAAGAAAGCTGTAGTCTGACATGGAAGTGAGGCAATGTACTGCTGTGGAAGGGTCAGCATGTTTTGTCGCTAACCCCTCCAAAGCAGTTCATTGCTGAGCTTCTATGTCAGACTCCAGCCTGCTTTTCCAAACCTGGGGCATGCTGACCGACACCTACTGACTATCAATAAATACCCCATGCAACCCCACTTAAAAAGTCCAAGCTATCGCTTTAATTAGAAGCACTGTACAAAGTATCGTTATCAAAATATACCTAAAGTAGCCAAACGTCTAATAGAGTGGCGCAGGAATGAGTCCTAAAATGCTGAAATGACATAGCATTTTTTAGCACTCCTCGTCTTGAAGTCAATGGGTTTTCTAAATGGGTTTTTGGTTAGATACCTGAAAGAAGATCTGTGGTTAACACAAGCTTAAGAGACTCACATTTTGTGCAATGACATAAAATACATCAATTAATACTCCATTGGTGAATTTTGAAGCCTTTAGGTGACTTAAAAAGGTGGTTGCCAACAAGTGAATTGAATTTAGGCTTCAAAAATCATAAAAGTGGTGTTTATTTGTGAAGATTATCTCACTGAACATAACACATTATGTATCATAAACTTTTGTTTGCCACAGATCTGACTTTCTGCAATAACCCAGAGTAGTAAATCCCACTGGCTTTTTGACGAGGGAACCAGGGTGATGCTAACATCCACGTTAGTCTTTCAACGCTCTATTTAAAAGCCATACTAATGTGTCCGGCATACGTCCACAGTTAAAGCACATAGTGGATTCAAGTCCCTGTATCCATAATGCTACAATAATAAATGTAGTAGACCGTGAATGAAAACAAAAAAGAAAATATGGTATTCAGTTTGTGATCATTCAAACTCTAAAACTTTCCTTCAGTAGTTGACAGTGATGTGCTTGCGGAGACTGGACACCAATTACACACCTATAGGCATCTGTGAACTCCACTAAAAACGTATTTTGCACAAAGTTAATCTGCCGTAACGTTACAGTAGCTCTGATAATCTAAATATTTGGCTCCATGATTTGTATGGAAACCCATTTCGACCAATGTCATTAAAAACACACACACGCAAAATGATGTTAAGTACAAGAGACCTTTTCTTTAAGTTAGATGCACCATTGACTCGGTGAGCTTTAGCACCACATTTCAAAGCACTGTTTGTTTAGAAAGGGTGACATTTTAGTGTTTTGTAGTTTAAATGTCTTGCTTTTTAAATTTTTGTTGCTTTTGTTGACAGACAGCTAGCTGTGTTAACATACTGTGGCCACCCTCGTCTCCTCCCAGGTCTCCACAGGGAGCAAGCAGCTTCATTTTTAGCTACAAACCCCCTTCAGCACTGTTACCAATGTTAGCACCTTTAGCTGCACTGACGCTGCTGACGGCACTAACAGAGCTGTAAGTAGTTACAAATGCTGAAGGGGGTTTCCTGCTCAAAACCCAGGCAATGTGCTCTCAATTGCTGCGTGAGGGGAGATTGGAGGGTGGGTACAGTTTTCATGGTGACTCTGTTGGGTTGGGACAGCATTACAAGTAGTAACTGCTGAATGAATGGCGACGCTAGCTTATGTTAGCTCCCACCAGACCCGGGTGGTGCCCAGTGCAGTAAACTGAAAAGTAGCAAAATGAACCAACATGTGTAACCAGTCAAAAATATTCCTGACAGTTAACCGATCAACTGTTGATATCCCTACTGGCAAAAATTAATGACTTAAACATGAGAAACACAATATTTTGTCCTGGGCTTATCATCACAAAGTTGTTTGCACTAGCTAAAAAACCAGACTTGTGCAAATGTGGACAATGTTTCTCATTATTTTGGGATACTAAGTCATTACTTTGAGAAAGTTTCTTATGACTGTTGATCTTTTTTTCTATGTTTGTCATCATTTGTTTGAAATACTGAAAAATAAACCAGGTAAAAAATGATTAGGCAATCTATAAATTAACATTTTTCCAATGAAAACACTTTGTGTAAAGGTTTCTGTTCTGTGTCATGAGCAATATGTAATTAATGCTGTGTCCAAAAAAATGCACCTGAATTAAATACACAATTAATTATTGAAAAAAAGTCATATTTTAGAAGAACTCACTACAGGTGACAGGTTTCATAACATGAAAAATATACATCAGTATTTTGTCTTTGTACATTAGGCAAAACTGCAATAGTTCAGTGAGCAGAATAATCGTGAGATTGTGGATCGGGGGGGGGGACAAAACAAAAGGGGCACACATACTGTACACACAAACACTCAAACATTCGCAAACAAAACCCCAGAAACATTCAACAAAAAAAAAACAACAAACCAACAAAAAAAAAAAAATTACAACAAAGCATGCATAACAATTCCTACCGAGGACAACACAGACGAGGAAAAGAGAGGCTGCTAAAAGAACAGAATACTGGAGAAGAAGACCTCAAATTGTATCAGGATATCAAAAATTAACACTTCATACTAGGGGGAGTTATTGCTACACCAAATTGTTACCATTATACAGATTCCCTGTGTACTGGCTTTTAAATAAAGTCATATGTAAGTGGTACACAATTTCTCCATCTTTTTTTTCCCAACATTTTTTAACACTTGTTCAATGCAGGGTGAAGTGGCCAAGCATTTTATTAGGAGGCACTTTTGAAAAAAGATAAAGAAAATTTAGCATGCAAGAAAATGAAGTGAACTGAGAAGGATGGTAAGACTCTCGATGGCTAAAGAAAAACCAAATCATTCGGGTACATGATGTCGTGTATTCTAATATGGCGGCGTTCCCTTCACCAGTCACGTCACTCATCTCCTGCTTGAATCAATCGAGCTCTCCGCAGGTGTATTTGTCCAACAGTGTCACAATTCTCTTTCTATTTAAGACTCAAACACTCTAAAGAGAACTAATGCATGCTGGAGCTGAGAGAGGGAAAATGAACAAAAATAAAACTATCTGAGCCAGAGCTATTCATTTGGTCTAAGTGTTTTGATGGATGGAGAGGGAGCTTATATATTATCCGGTTTAGTCTGTGCTATATACATGTCTTTACAATATCTTCCTGAATGTTGAAGCAGTTCATAGACTTGAAAAATGTTTTATCATCTTCTGGGTTGTTGTTGTTTTTTTGTTGTTTTTTTGGAGTTGGCACTTGCTTGGCGGTTTTCTGTCAGCCTTGGTAGTCACTGTTATGTTCTATTGCAGCCTATAGTAGCCAGTCTGTTCCTGCCAAAATTAAGGAGGACAAGCCTGGCGACAGGGTGGAAGAGTGCAGGAAACAGTGCCATGTTGATTTTTCAATTGGAGACCTGTGGGGAGAGAAGCACACAAGAAACAACAAAAAAGAGATGTGTTAGGAAGCAGCAAGTTATAAAGTCAACATGAGAAACAAATATTGAATGATAAAAAGATCAGCAGTATGTTACACCAAGTAGATGTGTGTGCTAGTCAAAGTTAGGATGTTAAGTCTATAGGCAGCTCATTGTTAGTTGTAGTCTAGACAGCTTGACACTCGTTGAGTTGCACAATGAGTCAGATGAAAAGGTGTAAGACGATTATTTCAACTGATACAAACCATTTCATCTAAACGGACAAAATGGCTTAAATGTCAATTAATAAATATATGTATAAATAAATAAATGAATTTAGGGATACATAAATTAATACAGAAATAAATAAAAGTATAAATAAATAAGGAAATAAATAAATGTCTGAATTAACATAGAAATTAATAAATAAATGTAAACAAAATTTATAAAATAAATACATAAATAAAAATATAAATAAACAAATGTAAAAATAAAAAAAATAAATAGGTATGGGGATAAATAAATATGTATAAATAAAAAATAAAATAGAAATAAATGCATGACTGATTGAAATCTAATAATAAAAGACATAAACGCATATTTATTTTATTTCTACAATTTCGTACAACATTTATTTTTATCTGTATTTATTTCAGCATTTATTTGCACCTTTTTTACCATATTTATTTCTGAATTTTTCATACATTTAATCCTGTATTTATTTATTTATATCAGTCATTTTTCATTTTCCCTACTTATGCTCCAATCAAGTGAATTATCACCTAACTTACTCTTACTAATTAGGGCCGTAACGGTACATGTATTTGTGTCGAACCGTTCAGTACGCGACTTTCGGTTCGGCACGACCCTGTACCGAATTATTGGGCGCAGGATATTATTTTATTTTATTTTGTTTTATTTTAATTCCGTTTTTGCAAGCCGAACCATTTAAAATATCTAGTTCCCCGACGGACATATTTGAGTGACGGACCGAGTCCAACCGTAAATCTCCACTTTCACTTTGTGCAGCGCATTCTCGCATTTTGACAACATGGCAAGTGAGCCTGACGAACCTGAAGACCCACCCGCAAACCTTAAGTCCTCCGTTTGGGAACACTTTGGTTTCAGGGTAAAATACGAAGATGGAAATAAACAAGTTGACAAGACAAAAGCAGTGTGCCGACACTGCAGAACAGCGGTCGGGTATGTACTTGGAAACACGTCTAACATGCTAACGCATCTAAAGCGACACCACCCGAGTTTGAACGTTAACCGGCACGACTAGAAAAAGCAATCTGGTGCAAACTACGATATCGTCGTCGTTTAAAAAGAAAGAGCGTTTCCCTGACCATTGCGCTAAAGAAATAACCAACGCCATTGGAGTTGAGTAAAATTGTTTAAGCTGCACTTTAGATATAAGCATGTTTTGTTTACTGCACTTTAACAAAGTGGGAAAGCTAAGTAAGTTCCTAGTAAAACTGAATCTGAGCAGGCTTTAAAGCTGACCAGCTGCACTATACTTTTTTATTTTAATTGAGTAAAACTGTTTAAGCAGAAATTTATATTTATATTTTTCATTCAAAAAATGTGTTAAAAAAACAGCAGGATTTTATTTTTCACTTTCATATTTCTATTTTCATTCAAACAATGTGAAAAAGCAGGATTTTATATATATTTGTTTCATTCAAAAATTGTGTAAAAAGAGTTAACTGCTGTGGTGGTACGTTTTAATAAGGTTACCAATAAGTAAAAGATATTTAATAGTTGTCTATTTTTTTCATTACTGTACCGAAAAAAACCGAACCGTGACTTGTGTACCGAGGTACGTACCCAGGGCTTGACTTTAACTTTTTTCCCAAGGAGCACATGTGCTCCTAAGTTGAAAAAGTAAGGAGTGCACAAAGAACTTTAGGAGCACAGTGTAAATTGATCAAATAATGTGTTTTCCGTAATAAACGTGATGCAAATACACATTTACAAGCAAAATTATTTAATGAATTTGTATACAAAATGTAAAGAAAGGTAAAATCATCAAGTTTTGAAAAAGTATTGCAATTTAATTTTGTCTTTAATGTTATTATCTTATATACATTATCTTTGAAATATGATTATCTTATATAATGTTATTACTATCCTAAAACATTCTCCAGGTCCTCTGAAACTCTGCAGGACTTAAGCCTTTTTCACACAGAGCTTTCACGGCGCCCACCGAGGGGTAGGGCGCAGAGGACAGGATTTGGGGGAGTACAGGCTTGTTCAGGAGCTACAGCTCCATGGTGACCACTTCCGGGTCTACTTCAGGCTCTTCTCTGCTATTGGATGCGCGACGCCGAGGTGTCGTCACAGCGCACAGACGCCGCGACATGCGCCCTCTCGCGCGCCGCTCAGCTCGTCGGCAGAGCGGTGCGCACTTGCGCCAAGGTAGCACATACACTATGAATGGGTTCGTCAGTGGAGGTCTGCGCTTTGCGCGCTCTGTGTGAAAAGGGCTTTATTTCCACCCTGCCCAGCAGCGGTACCGTGGCGAACGGTCCCTAAAGGCCTCTACACATGATCAGCTGTAAAACCGCTTTGCGCTGGCTGTCCCATTGTTTGTCTATGGAGAGGGCGTCGCGCACCGCTCTGATTTTCCGCCCGAGCGCTGCGCTCAGAATTGAAATTATTTGAACTACGGGGAGAACGGAGCAGGCTTCCCCGGAGATCCGCCGCCTAACCCGGTCCATCTCCTCCACACTTTGACTTATTTCCACGCTGCCGACAGTGGGACTTAAGCCCTTTTCACACAGAGCTCGCAAAGCGCAGACCTCCACCGACGAACCCATTCATTGTGTATGTGCTACCACGGTGCAAGAGCGCATTGTGCCGACAGTGGCTTGGAAAACCGCCCATAACCGTGTCACACGGGGAAGAGGGAAGAGGGAAGGCGGCTGGAGTTCCTCCAACATTTGCGGTTAGATTACCATATTTTTTTATTGACAAAAATATAGGCTGCTTTGGCTGATTTTTTTATGCGCACGTGCCCCTAAATATTTTTCACAGTTTGCACACATCTATTTTTAGTCGCAAATGCGAGTGAAACGCTGGCACTGTCGAGCCCTGTACGTACCGAACCGTGATTTTTGTGTACCGTTACACCCCTATTACTAATGAAAGAAAAAAATCAAATATCAAAGATTAGTATGTTATGCAGTTTTAGTTGAAATGTTCCAGTTAGTTCAAACCTGTACCTAATAAACTGGCAACTCAGTACAGATTACATTTTGTTACATGCAGGTATTTGTGAACAACTGAAATTAGTTGTGATTCAAAGATATTAAAAGGGTTAAAGTGAAGGATACTTGCCCTGAAAACATGAAGCTAGATCCTTGCTAAATATCACTCAAACGCAGTCTCTTGGCTTTTTCGTACACAACGTGCAACTTTCCTCTTGAATGCACCGTGTCTGTCCTCCCTCCACTCTTTCTGCAGAGGGGAAATAAGATAAAGACAATTAATTTTCATATCTTTGTAATATACTGCATGTCTCTCTTTTCAGTTGGTCATATTATCTATACGTGTACAAAATTATAATTAATAATAAATTCATGTATTGGTCATAGATTTTGTCAGTCATGTACTTTTTAATGCTGTCTAAAACATTAATCAGGTAATTCTTGCATTTCATAGACTGTTGTGGTCTGAGATGACCACTAGATATCTTGTTTAGAAAATAAAAGCACATTCATTTTACTCAGATACCATTTTTAATCTACTTTTTTTTAAAAAAAACATGTAAACTTACTGCAGCATCCACATTGGCTGGTGAATCACCATTTGGGTCTGCCAGCATAGAGATAACACTAATCATGATGGTTTCCACTGTGTGGATAGGCAGCCAACGCTCCTCTGGTTTCTCATAGCCATACTTGTCCTCTCCGGGCTCGTGCAAAATAGAAATACATACGTCTCCATTCTTGTCAACTGAAAGAAAAAACAAAAACATGTAGAATACAATTTATGAGGCAGAAAATGCTTTCACTATTCGTACAACCTTCAATGCTTCAATCCTGATTTAATTTGATGTTTTTTCTTTTTAATTTGAATTCAACATGTGAATTAACTTTAAAAAACTTTTTCATAGCATTGTTTATACTATATTAAAAATGTTTGAATGCATTTAACATGTTATGAGGAATAGTGATTAAATATATCAAATCCTATGTTCCTCAGTGTTTTTACAAAGTGACCATGGTGCATTTCAGTTTATTTTTTGGACATCAATTGCAATTGTACTTAAAAATTAAAACCTTATTTATTAGCCTGTTATAACTGCACAGTGGACTCTTATTTATGGAGGACGGTCAATACCAAAATAAAAACAAATTAATGACTCAATAAATAAATTAATTAACAAGCCATTATATTAACCAAAAACAATTTTAAAAATAATAGTAGTCTTTAATTAATTGATAAAATGTGAGATAGCTTTGGTATTAGTTTGAATTTGCCTCTTTATTTACCTTTGTAATAATTTACCTATTTATTTACTTTTCTATTTATTTTTCTCTTTTATTTTTTAAAATTATTTTTTCCATTTTAATTTATTTTTTAAATGTATTTATTTATTCACTTACTGTTTCCATACTGTTTTCCCTTTGCATTGTCCCCTTACTTATTTCTGCATCACTTTTTATACCTTTCTTGTTTATTTCCCTTTTTTTTTAAGTTTGTAAGCTTCCGTCCCCTGTTCTCACTGAGCGTGTTGTGAAAAAGTATTCTTCTGAATGTTAATTTAAAAAAGGCAGCTTAAGACTATGAACTACTGCAGTCACTGCAGGATTGAGCTTTATGTTGAACTTATATTTAATGAATTTCTGTAAACATTCTTTGATATTTCCACACACCACAAAAAGGAAACTCCTCAACATTTCAAATATGGGACTCTAGGATATGCTTACATCTTTGAGAGAGAAACTCCACCTCCTCCTAAAACGTCTTACTACAAAAAACAAATATTATACACAGTGTGCTGCACCTGTACTTACCATTAGGGTGCCAAATATCTGTGATAAATTTCATTTTAGGTGGCCTGAGTGGGTAGTCTTTGGGAAATGTCAGATGAGCTTTAAACACACCACCTTCACTGTGAATAAAACAGATCAAAGAGAATAAAAATAAATACAGCAGCTGAATTTTGTTTCAGAACATCTAAAGCAATAAATGCAAGGAGAGTTTTTTTTAGACACAACATAAGAACACACCTCTCCGAATACATCCCATGTGTTAGACAGTGGTAGACTTACTACAGTGTGTCTGGAGGGCCGATGATGAGGACTTCCCATCTGTAGAGATCATTATCCTCAATCAGGCCTGCTGAGAATCCTTCCACTGGGTTTTTGTTCATCTCTAGATATAAATACAGAAATATCAAAAAACAAAGTCAAATCACCATTGACACATATCATCATACCAAAAGTATGTTTACTAGACTGATGTTTTATTCTTAAGACTGCTGAGCACACAACACAATCCATGCCTTCAGGAGGCCTTGCTTGGGGGTTGAATCAGCGCCATGTTGCCAAACACACACACCATCATGTTTGATCTGGACGTGGAAACGCCCCAATATGCCAATTGTTACACGAGCACACATTTCTCTGTGCCAGGCAGCAAGCGATTCTGCTCCTTTGCTCTTTTTTAATCACACGTCTGCTTGTGTGTATCTGCTCGTCTCTTTGTTAGACACAAACTGACAAATCTGTGGAATAAGTAAGCATAGGACTCATACTGTTTAATTTATCAGAAACAGATCATGTATATTATATATATATCCTTTATACTGTTCATAATAGATTATCAGACCTATCCAGATTTGCTCGCGGCTCGTCCAAGGCCCAAAACTATCGCTGCAGATCACAAGCTGCCATGGCGCCACCTAGTGTGAACTGCCTAGTTGGTTAACATGGGCACTGAAAGGAAGCTGGCCACGTGCTTTACGGCGCTTCTGTGTCCAGTGTGAATCATGTGCAATAGTTAAAAGGCATCCCATACTCACTCTCTGATTCACACATTAATTTTCAAAATATTTACTGCACTTTGCAACTCCTACCTTCACACATAAATTCATTCTAGGGAATAAAGAAATTTTACCAACACGTGCCGATATAGACTGTCACCATATCTGCCTACACAGATTAAGACACATCAGGTTTTGTATGCAACATATTTAGATGACCCCAAAAAAGTTATTAATTGTGTGATACTCCCTTGAACATAGTGAGCCATTGTAATCAACTATAGATGCACATATCAACTTAAAATGTACCTGCTGAATGGGGAGAATTCAGCAACTTGTGTGGCCTTAGCTCAGTGGTCATGAATCTGATTCAATTTAAAGTTTTGTGCAACAGTACAATAACTGCATTTAGGAATCCTCCAAATATTTCTCTATTTCTATGTGCATTTGATGTAGATCCAGATTGAGAAGAATAACAAACAAAAAATGACTGTTGGACTTGAAGAAGTCTTAGTCAACTTATGGGTCTCTGACTGAGGATTCCAATCTCCATCCTGTATCAATGCCTTGGAGTTAAATAGCAAGCAACATGTGCATTTTTTCTCCTCTAAATCACATCACCAATGTCTAATACAGATATAAATGAGCTTTTACACAATTTTCTTCCTGGCCTCAAATGGAAAACATTTGTTAAACATTCTGAGTGTCTTAACTAGACATGGATCATTTCACAGTCAGCTGGCAAACTAATTGGTACTCTACATTTTTGCATGTTCATTTACTGCCATGTTCCAGAAAAAAGTGAAGTCTCACACTATGAATTTGATATCTTACAAGTATGTCAAAGCCTGGCCTGGGGGCCAACTGAGATTTAAATGGCCTTTGGCTTGTCCTTCAAAATATACTATACAATTAACACAATACTGGTCAATCAAGCATGATTGCTTTGCATTTTTATCATTCACCTCACAATGGCCAGACAGTCATACAGTTTGTCGACTTGCAGTAGGAACTACACAGGTGGAACTATTGTGTTTTTATAGACAGCTGGCAATAAAGCAAACATATGGTTACCTAAAGGAACATATTTCGTGCTAGGTAGCAGACATTCCCAAAGCAAAGAATACTTGAGTACTTGTTCACATCAAGATTTAACAGTTGCATTTGGGTCATTTGTATTGTTTGTATTTGTTTTCTATAACCTATATAATGTGAGAAAGAGTTGACCCCCAGGTCTTTTCACATTATATAATCTGGCCCCTATTCAAAATAGTCTGGACACCCCTGTCTCATAAGTACCAGCACGTTGGTTACAGACTTAACTTCAATGCCTTTTTAAACTTTAGATTTAATTATGATATATATGTCTGCAACAAAGGACATATATTTGTCCATTTAACAGCCCCAGCTATAAAAAACAGGATTTTTAAACTTAAGATATCTGACATAAAGTTATTCACCTAATGTCAACCAACTCCCACTCGAAAATATTCAGGTTCAGGTCAATAGTCCATCACTATGAGGAGATAATCTGGAAACCTACAAATGATCTCAAAAATGTCCCTGAAATGATTTTTTTTAAAATTAAAACATACTGACCATAATCTGACTCAACTACTTTTGGAATAATGTTTACATAAGAACAGCCAAAAAATAAATAAATAAATAACTCAGGACTGCCTCTTTCAAAACAGCTAATGCGAGATTAACATTAGCTTGTTAGCTTTTTGCAGTGACGCTAACAACAGTGACAGCAGCTAACTTTAGCATACAGATCTAACGTTAGCGAGTTGGCCGTTAACAATTCGATATTAACGTTAGTTAGCAAAGGAAACTGGGTCAACTAGAGGAATGTTACGTGGATTTATGCATGGATACAGCAACTAATATCATGTTGATGGCATAACTAGTAAACAAAATGTCAAAAAATGCAAAACACCGCTTGTTATGTCGGTGGTAATACATGTAAACACATCGAGTCAGCTAGAGGCTAACGTTAGCCTAACTGCTGTTAGCCTGCCCGACGCTAGAAAGTCGGTTAGGACTTCTGACAGCGGCTTTGAACTGAAATCATTATGCGACACTCAACATGCTGAAGGCGTTTCAATCATCTTAATCCACTGTTATAACCTCAACGCTGTTCCTTTACCATGGGACAGAAACGTTTGTGTGGAAGGTTCAAGAAAACTGTTAGCGCCACCACAATCGATTGAATCACAGCTAACGGTAACGTTATCGTTACTGAAGGTAGGCAGCGTCTGCTAACACCAAGGTGGTTTAATTACCTGCAAGCTGTCTCCTGAGTAACAGCGCTGACTGAGGCTCTGTCATACTTTAGCCAATGCAATGCAGCTAAGTTCAATGGTAATATTTTGAGGTAACGGCGTTAATTTAACGTTCACCGAGCAGTACTTCGTCTCCTTCTATTTTCCGTTTAGCATGCTCGTCATTCTTCTTCGTCGTCGCCTTCTCCTGCTACTGCCGATTCTTCTTCGTTGGAGTTTTAACGGCGGTTGTCATCCAGCGTATTCGCTGCAACACCGCCACCTTCTGCTTCGGCGGCGATCAGGTCCTGAGCATTAATCCTGTTTCTCTACGAGAAAAACTGCACTGTTTACTCCACTTAAATTATATTTATTCCAGTGCGACTATTACATTCATAGTAGTACAAATTTTACGTACTTTTATTTTAATTACAATAATTACACTCATACCAGTGTAATAATTACATTTATTCTAGTGCAATAATTAAATTTATTTCAGGACAATAGTTACATTCATACTATAATCACATGTGTACTTGTGCAAAAAATATTCATACTGCTGTAATAATCACATTTATTCTAATGCAATATTTAATTTATTTTAGTACAATAGTAACATCCAATATTCACATGTGTACTTGTGCAATTATTGCACAATTATTGCATTGATTCTAATGCAATAATTCTTTTTATTCTAGTGCAATAATTACATGAAGAAACGACATTATGGGCACAGACCACAAACAGCTGCATTGAAAACCAGCATGATAGGTCCATTAACGATTAATCATTCTGAATTAATCACTACATGTAACTCTACCCATAAATGAATCTTCCTGTATGTCCCTGAAAGCAACATGCATACGGAGTTTCCGTAGTGTAGTGGTTATCACGTTCGCCTAACACGCGAAAGGTCCCCGGTTCGAAACCGGGCGGAAACACATTTAGCTTTTTGCAACGAATTACTTAATTGAACAAACCACCGTCTACATCCTCTCCATACTCACCTCCACCTCGTTTCCGCGTTTCCGCAGAAGGTCCGTCACGTTAAACCAAATAACCAGAGAGTGGAAGTGGGTTTTAAAACTTCAACAGCGAGCTTTCATTGATGCTGACTTGCTGACCATAGGCAGTGCAAAGTTCCGTTAGACTACCTTTGCAAAAGCCAACTGCTAAAACTGAGACAGAAATGAGATGTTCACATGCAGATGTTAACCTGAGAGAGGCTGTATTATATCAAGAGAAAACGTACTCCTTACGACATTCTAAAAAAAATCATTTTTCATATTGTCCGTGAACGCCACAACGACATAGTGTTTCCGTAGTGTAGTGGTTATCACGTTCGCCTCACACGCGAAAGGTCCCCGGTTCGAAACCGGGCGGAAACATTGTTTTCGGTATCATTTCTGTGTATAAGTATGAATACACTATCCAAGAAGCTTCTCCACGAACTGATTGGTACGGAGTCACAGTCTTTAAACCTTATGTGGGTGTGAACCGTTACAGAGACGGTGAGGTCACATGTGAGCTCTTAGTTTCAGAGTCGTTGAGGTCACCTGGCCATCATGTGTGTTAACAGGGTTAGACGGGACAGGTCTGAGTGGGTGTGAAGTCGTCTGGGGAGGGATCACAAGACTGCATTGTTGGTGGGTGATTAGTGGTGTAGGCCACCTCCTCTGTTTAATGATGTTTTTCCGGTTTGACGCAGATGGCTTCTCTCACGCCTCTTTCAAACCATCTTTCTTCTCTGGCCAAGATGTGCACATTGCTGTCCTCTCAGGAGTGTCTCTTCTCCTGTAGATGTAGACGGACAGCTGAGTCTTGACCTGTGCTGTGCCATCCGTTTGTGGAGTTGTTTTGTTTCACCAATAAGAACTGAAGAAGCCTCTTGGATGAGAGGAGAAACGTCTTCAAGAAACAAGCAGTTGCCTATGATATATAGCACTTACTCTTACTTGTAACCAGAGTATTTGTTTTTTTATATAGGTAGATTAAATGGGCTGTGGTGCCGTATCTATGAGGAACAAATAGCTGTTGCGGTTTCATACAAGCCAAAATGGCTCTTGCGATAGGTAAGACTGCTGATCCCAGTTTGCAGTTTGTCCCTGAAGTGCCGGCATCACGTGATTTTTCACACCCTTCCTCGTTAGTATAGTGGACAGTATCTCCGCCTGTCACGCGGAAGACCGGGGTTCGATTCCCCGACGGGGAGTTTACATACTTTTCTCACTATGGTTGGATTCAAGATTCAAGATGCAAGAAAGACAAAAACAAGTATAAGAACAAAAACAACTGATCAGACCAGCAGCTCCTGTATTCACTGTGCTAAAATTAGTGTTTGGTCAGTGGAGTCTGGTGGCTTTAACAAGCTCATAGAGTGGAAACTAAAGCCGTTAACAGCTCTCCCGTCAGAACGGGCTGTCTGATGGAGAGAAACTATATGATAACAAATGAAAAATTGAGCAATTTTGCTCGGTTTCGGCCCACTTGGCATGCTGCTGTGTTGTGCTATGGCGTGCTGGAATTTGTCATTTACGTGACAACGCTTGAACACAACACAGGCTCGCTCCGCTGTGTGTACAGTTCTGCAGCGTGTCTGTTAATGGTAATTTACACACTGTCCATAACAGTAACTATGTCAGGTCAGGTCAGGTCAGTGGCCCCTGATATAATATAGGGGAAACACTGAATCAAGCAAGAAGACTAATTAAATTATATTGTAATCGCAATCGCACATTTTTATCAAATCGTGCAGCACTAATAACAGCCATTTTTGGTCAGAAAATCACTGTGACATCTTCTCAGTCTGTCAGTAAACACAGAACATGGAGTTTAAGTGTTGTTTTATGTTCCCTTTCTCCCAATGACAGCTTACTGGCTCTGAACCATAGTTGGGAACAGGCTCAGTTATTAACAATTAGCCCACCCTGTTGTTAGCTAGGAGCCAGCTGGTAGTTTCTGTTTCCGGCATCACGTGACTTTCATTGTAACTTCCTCGTTAGTATAGTGGACAGTATCTCCGCCTGTCACGCGGAAGACCGGGGTTCGATTCCCCGACGGGGAGAACTTTAGGTTTTCTTCACGATGCTTGTAATTCACAAATAGATGTACTGAAAAACCAACCACACATATATCTCATCCCCAGACAGAAAGTAAGCATAATATGGAGGACAGAAAATGACATAAGTATAAGTATATATTTTTCTTTTGTGCAGTTTTTCAAGAAAAACAGACATAACAACAACAATAACACCCCGGCTCAGATATGTAAAATGAAATTAAAGGGGAACATCTGTGACATTAGTTAAAAGATTAGAGTACATAAATAAATAGATAGACAATAAAGCTACCAGTTATCCGCCCTGACCTCATCCAAGTGGGCAATGAAGGGGCCCCAAATAGTCAAAAACTTTCCAACTGAATTAGTCCTTGTGAACCAGAGTCTTTCCATTCGTATGACTGAAGTCATATCAGCAAGCCACCTCTGAAAGGAGGGGGGAGATGTCAACTTCCACTCCATCAAAATGAGTCTTTTTGCAACAATCATCCCCAGCATCAGAGACTGCCGCATTGCTGTCGGTAGGCCTGCTGTAGTCTGTGAGCAGCCAAAGATGGCGAGTTCAGCCTCCGGTTGAAAAGATCTTTTATAAGCCTTGGAAAGCCAGTCAAATATTTTGTCCCAGAATCCAGTCAGCAAGGGGCAGAACAAGAAAGCATGAGACAGTGTGCCCTCAGAAACTTGACATCTGTCGCACAGCGGTGAGACAGAAGGAGCAATCTTGTGCAGCCTGAGTTTAGAGTAGTGAAGACGATGAACAACCTTGAATTGGATCAGCTGATGTCTGCTGTTAGCCGAGCAGGATTGTATCATAGTTAAACACCTCTCCCATGCAGCCTCAGACAGCTCAATGCCTAGCTCCCCTTTCCAGGCCTCCCTCATCCCATCTCTGGCAGCCCTATTACAATCATCAAACAAATGCACAAAACTGGAAATGAGATGTCTGGAGTCAGGGGGCTTCTTCAAGATATCAAAAACACATGCTCCTTAGAAAGAGTTTTGAAATTAGGGATTTTGGATCGAACATAATCTCTGATTTGCAGGTAACGAAAATGGTATAAGTGGGGTAACTCAAATTTCACCCGCAATTCCTCAAAAGAAGCAAAACGTCCACCCACATACAAATGCTTGATAGAGGTAAGACCCCTCTCCCTCAAGGCATGGAAAACTCTGTCTGATCTCGAAGGTATAAAGGAATGGTTGAAGCAGATGGGTGTATGTACAGAGGTCGCTGGCAAACTCAAGGCTTTTCTGACCTGGTTCAGAATTCTAATAGAGTTTTTAATAACAAAACTATGACTCCTTAAAATGTCAGGTTTCTCTATTTTACAGAACAAGGCTGACAAGGAGGATTTGACTACAGAGTTGGCCTCCATATTCAGCCAGGAGGGGGCCCCAGGGGCCAAACTGCCTGGAGATTCCTGCTGCCAGAACATCAATGTCCTGACGTTAGCAGCCCAGTAATAATGTCTAAATATGGGTAAACCCAGCCCTCCCTCTGACTTGGGCTTTTGTAAATGGGCTTTTGAGATCCTGTGATTCTTTCCAATCACGTATGTATTCCAAACGTATGGCAAAATTATGGAGTCTAGTTCTTTAAAAAAAGCTGACGTGAGGAAAATAGGGAGATTCTGACAAAGGTAAAGAAACCTGGGAAGGGAAACCATTTTAATCGAGTTGATACGGCCAATCATAGACAGAGGCAAGATCCTCCAACCCTCTATATTTCGCTTAAGCTTAGCAACGAACTCAGAGAAATTTAACTTAAATATGAGTCTGGGTTCCTTGGGTATTGTCAGGCCAAGATATGTAAAGTGATCTTTAACCAATCTAAAAGAGATACCTTCTAAGAAGCCTGGCGTGTAAGTGCTGGAAAGAGGCATAAATTAGCTTTTTGTCCAGTTAATTGTGTATCCAGACAGCTTACCGAAAGAGGTAATCAGTTCTAGCAAAAGGGGAACAGATTTTTCTGGTGTTTTTAGACCTAATATGACGTCGTCTGCATACAGACTAATGAGCATTTCTGTGCCCCCCACTTCCAGACCCACAATCTCCGGATGGGCTCTTATTTTTAAGGCGAGTGGCTCCAGCAAAGAGGGCAGGCGAGAGAGGACAGCCCTGCTGAACCGAGCGACGTAA